GTCGACGACGACGAAGACGACGACGACGCCGACGCCAACGACGACGACGAAGACGACGACGTCGTCGCCAACGAAGACGACGACGAGGGAGGAGGGAGGACGACGGCGGCGACAACGACGGCAACGACGACAACGACGGGGGAGGAGGGAGGACGGCGACGACGCGAACGACGAAGAAGGAGGAAGGACGGTGACGCCGACGACGACAACGACGAGGGTGGAGGGAAGACGACGACGACGACAGCGACGACGACGACGACGACGGCGACGAAATAGGAGGGACGACGACGAGACGCCGACGACGGACGACGACGACGACGAGGGAGGAGGAGGAACGACGTCCACGGCGACAACGACGACGGAAACGACCACGACGCCAAAGAGGACGACGACGACGAACACGAGGGAAGACGGAGGACGACGTAGGCGACGACGACGACGACGCGGGAGGAGGAAGGACAGCGACGACGACGACGACACAAGAGCGCGCGCGCACGCTCTTGTTGAACATCCGTGATGCGAAACCTTGTGTTTTGTATGTTTTTTGGGCACGATTTTGAAATCCTTCCGAAGCCGATGGGTTTTGAAGGGTTTCCGCATACGCGCGCGACGACGCGCGCGTCGGCACTTCGGTTTTTTTTGTTTGCAGAGGTTTCGCGCGACGGCGCACGCGCAAGGGCGTTCGACAGTTTTCGACATGCGCGCTCGCGAAGCCCGTTTGGTAGCATTGTGTGATCATCTGGAAAAACCTTTAGTTTTCTTAAGATTTCGCACTAGCTCGCGCGTAAGCTTTTTTAGCAAATCAGTGTTGCGAAACCCTGTGTTTTTGTATGTTTTTTGGAAATTCGATTGCGAAATTCTTCCGACACCGAAGGTTTTTGGAGGATGTCGGCATGCGCGCGCGACGGCGCGCGCGTGCGCACTTCGTTTCGTTTTTTTTGCTTGTGCAAGGGATTCGTGAACAAGTCTTATGTTAGAGCAAAATCTGTCTCCGCGTATCGTTTCTTGCATGGGAACCTCAGAGGGGGTCGATACCGGTTCCCCTGGGATAGTGTAAATTCATATGTCGGATGGACATGTGGTCAGAGTCATATACGATTTACATACCCGAAATGGGGACGGATAGCGCCGGGGGGGGGGTAGAGTCTATTCGTTTTCTTTGTAGAAAGGAGAATAGAGCTTCGATCGGATGAATTCAAGATTATACGATCCCCTAGGGATGCTATAGCATCCCCTAAGGATGCTATAGCATCCCCTAGGGATCCTAAAGCATCCCTTCAGTATTCTGAAGATTCCCCAAGGATTCTACAGGAGCCCCAAGGGCGTCGACAGGATTCCATGTATGATCCCGAAGGAGTCTGCAGCTCCGAGGTCGGCTCGGTGGAGCGCGCATAGTTTGAGTTTGTGGTAATACGTGGGCTGCCTTGAAGAACCACGAGGGATCCCAGAAGATTTTCAAAGGCTTGCTGTGGTTTCCTATGCTGACCGTGTGGCGCGTAGGGTTGACGGCGTTGGGTTGCGTTGCGTTGTGCCGGGGGGGGGGGGGCGCAGGGTACACCAGTGGACTGTTTCACCACACGGAGCGAAAGAGTGAACTGGTGTACGGGTACATCAACTGGCTGTTTTGCCCCTTGTTGTTGTTGTTGCTGCTGCTGTTGTTGTTGTTGTTCTTGTTGTTGTTGTTGTTGTTGTTGTTGTTGTTGTTGTTGTTGTTGTTGTTGTTGTTGTTGTTGTTGTTGTTGTTTGTTGTCGTCGTCCCGCCCGCGACCCACCCGCGACCCACTTCGCGACCCACTTCGCGACCCAACCCGCGACCCACCCCGCGGCCCACACCGCGACCCACTTGGGGCCCACCTGCGACCCACCCGCGACCCACCCCGCGACCCACCCGCGACACACCCTGCGACCCATCCGCGACCCCACCCGCAACCCACCCGCGACCCGTTTGGAAAGATCGGCGCTTGCGGCGGGCTCGCTGTGTTTGTGAAACTTCGGCGCCTGCGGCGGGCTTGTCCAGAGCTTCGCAAACCTGCGAACGTCCCCGCCCCCTCACGGAGGAGGAGGAGGAGGAGGAGGAGGAGGAGGAGGAGGAGGAGGAGGAGGTGGCAGCACCGCAGGGGCCGGAAAATCCGATCCCACTCTTGTTTGCCACGTGGTACCACTTGGGAGGGGGGGGGGGGCAACACCAAGCACGACCCCACTTGATCGTCACGCGGCAACGCTGCGGGGGGCCAAACACAATACCGAACCATTACACGCGCAACATGGCCACGCTTGGGGGCGCGAAGAAGCAGTCTTCCATCCACTGTACCTGTCACGCAGCAGCGCCGCGGGGGTCGAACAACAAAAACCAGCCTCGCTGTTCGTCGCGCAGGCCCGTTGCAAGGGACCGAGAGAACACCATGCCACTCCACTCGCCACGTGGCAGCGCCTGGAGGCGCGAAGAGAAAGCATGCCGTTCCAGGCGTTGTGCCACGACGATTGCGAGGACGACGACGAAAACGACGACGAATACGACGACGATGACGAGGGCCAGGGAGGCGAATAACAACTATATCCTATCCTCCTCGTCCTCTTCCTCCCTCTTCCGTTCCCCCCCTCCCTCCTGCCTCCTTCCTCTCCCTTTCTTCCTCCTTCCCCTGCCCCCCTCCCCCCTCCTCCCTCCTCGCTCCTCCTCATTCTTCCCCTCCTTTTTGTACCTCCGACCCTTATCCGCCCTCCCTGTTCTCCTCCTCCTTCCCCTCGCTCGCAGCAGTGCAAGGTATTGCACCTGCATTGCACATGCAACGCAGTGCAATGCACTGCAACTCAACAGGATGCGTCGCAATGCAATGCCACGCAGTGCACTGCAAATGCAACGCAACGTGGTGCAACAGGGTGCAACGCAGTGCAGCGCAGAGCAGTGCAACGCAACGCAGCGCGACGCAGGGCAACGGGATACGGTGTAGCGCAGAGCCGTGCCACGCAGTGCGGCACAGTGCAGAGGAGAGCAGTGGCTCGCCCGCCCGCCCCCACGCCAGTGCATCCCATCCACTTGCGGGCAATAGTTATATCCACATCCAATGCGTCTTGGATTCTTGGGCTCTCTTCCCCAGAAACCGTAGACGCACTGGATATGGATAAAAATCTGGCCCCAAGAGGCTTGATTTTATCCATATCCGGTGCGCCTCGGCGTTGCGGCACCTCTTCCCAAAAAGTCCACGACGCTCTGGATATGGATATAAGTATTGCCCGCACCACTCCTCCCTTCCACTCCTTTCCGGCCATTGTGCGGTTCCAACCTGCCTTTAGCCTCGACCGCCAGAAAGAAGTTCGAGCACCAGCAGAAAAAGTACCGCAGCTTGAGGGTTTTTTCATGCGTCGGGCCCTGGGAGACACGCGCCCGACACTGTTTCGACACTCTTTCGACCGTGTTTCGACATTTTTCCGGGTGCTCGAAATTATTTCTGGGAGCGATGGGAACAACATAATCCGACCATTCCATTCCAGTCCGTTCCGTCACACTCCTCCCTTCCCGCGCCCGGCGGGGGCCCAGCGTGTCATCTGGGCCCAGCGGTGTGGGGCGTCCTCCAAAACAAATGCACCGGGAAGGGCTGGTTGGCTGGCTGGTTGGCTCCCCGGTTGCTGGGTGAGCAGGCGTCCAGAGGCCAATTTTGGCGCACTCCTCACAGGGATCCCGCCCTGGGGGACCGTAAAGAATTCTTGTGGTTGGAAATTACAGGTTCTTTTGGCCCGCGACCCGACAGGTTGGCATCCGCGTGTCCCGAGGACGATCGATGCGCGAACGGGACCGATCCGTGAGGTCCCAGGGCCCTTCAGCGGGGGCGAAGACGCCCGTCGTTTTGCTTGTTGTCGCGGTGCCCCGATCTGGGGGCGTGGCTTCAGCCCGGGGGCGATTTTTTTTGTTGGGGCTATTTTTGATTGCTTTTCCTTACCATCCTGTGGTGTTGGGTCGCCGTTTTGAAGAGACAGTGCCCCGCGTTCACTCCTCCTTCCTCCTCCTCCCCCTCCTCCCTCCTCCCATCATTATCACCCGTTTCGGTACACCCCTCACACGTTTCGTGGCGCCATGGGGAGCTCCACCGAAGGTCCCATTGGCTGCGTTCGCGCTGCGTTCGCATGCGGTTCCACCCCCTATTGCGGTACACCTCTCACACGTTTCGTGGCCCCACACAGAACTCCACCGAAGGTCGCATGCGGTTCCACCCCCCATTTCGGCACACCCCTCACACGTTTCGTGGCCCCGTACGGAGCTCCACCGAAGGCCCCAGTGGCTGCGTTCGCATGCGGTTCCACCCCAATTTCGTCACACCCTCACACGTTTCGTGGCCCCACAGGGAGCTCCACCGAAGGCCCCAGTGGCTGCGTTGCTGGGACCCTCTCGGGGCGACCAGCGCGCGTCGCGCGAACTCCGCGCTGCACTCTGCCCAGCGCCTCGCCCGCCCTTCGTTGCTCCGCCCAGCGGCCAGAGACATGCGCGCTATAAGTTAACCAGCGAACATTATCTGCTCTGCACAGCGGACGAACCGCGCGCGTCGTTGGGGCCCCTCCAGGGCGACCTGCGCGCGTCGCTGGGACTCCGCGCTGCGCTGCGCCCGCAGCCTTGGACTTTAGAGTGCGCGGGCAAAGAGAGAGGACAAGAAGGGAAGGAAGCGGGCGCGATCCTCGTGGAGGGCGTGCCGACATGGGCGTCGCGGCGTGCGGGCGCTGCCGTCGGGGTTTCCGGGGAAGTTCCCTGCGGCGGCCACCCTCAGCGTCACGGGTACTCCGAGTACTCAGATTCCGGCAGACCCGAAACATCTACATCCATATGAACTTACACCAGGCGTGGCCATGCTCGCGCTCATGCAAATATAATCACTCTCGCGCATTAGCACTCAGATTTACTCGCGCTCAGACTCACCCATCATACAGTTTGTGGCCTCATAGGGAGCGCCACCGAAGAATGTATTCACAATTGCGGTATTCACAACTCCATATGGTTGGGTCCTTCGCCAGGCTAATTGGATATGTTTTTTTGAGTATCTTTACTTTTCCGTTCAAAATCCGCCTGAAGGCGGGCACGCCGGACCTAAGTCCAGCGTCCGCTCGCCAGCCAAAAATGGGCCGAGACGCCGCACGGGGCTCAGTAGGCAGCCGTGGGTTATAGGTGCGAGCGCAGGGGGAGCGCCCTCGCTTGAGAGGAGTCACTGACTCTGTTGCCGCGCGGCATCATGCGGGTGCTTTTTGCGGGAGCGGCTTCTGCAAGGGCAGCGGTTGCACGCGAGGCGTGATTTGCTCATGCCCACTATCGCTCCCCGGCCTCGGGCGATTTAGCCCGGTCGGGCTCCTTGTCATCCTCATCATCCTCTTCCTCTTCGCCCTCCTCCCCATCCTCTCTCCTTGCCCTTCTCACCCCAGTCCTCCCACTCCATCTCTCCGTCTTCTTCTCATGCTCTTGCACCTCCTCCTCCCCTCCCGCACATCGCCACGCTGCTCCTCCTTATCGTCCGCCCGCTCCCCCTACCTCAGGCCCTACCTCCTTCCCCTCGCCCCCCCCTTCCTCCCCTCCTTCCCCTCCTCCTGCCCCTCCTCCTTTTCTTCTGGTTGGCCCCAAAGATGGTCCAGCGACAAGGGGGTGGTGCAATAAATCTGGTGTAATGAATTTGTAAGGTTGCAATATTTTTGGGGTGTGAATACATTCCAGTGCCCAAGTGTCTTGCTGGGTTTTCGCGTGCAACGCATTAGTTGCAACGCGAAATACAATTCTTGGGTGCAATATATCTGCAATACAATTGCCCAACATGTATTGCACCACCCCCTTTCAGCTGGACTCCCTTTCGGGTCACACGGATTTTCTCCCCCCCTTCCTCCCATCCACCCCCTCCTCCCAACTTGCGCCCGCGCGTTCCTCGTCCTCCTTGCGCCCTCCTCCTCCTCCTCCTTCTTCCGCCTCCTCCGCCTCCTTGCGCCGGAAGCCGCGGGGGGGGGCCCCGCGGCCGGACACGCAGAAGCTCGCTGCCCCCCCGCAGAAATTCTTCACGGATGCGGTGGGCGCGCCCTGGCACAAAATATCGTCCTCGTCCTCCTCCCCAGCCATCTGTTTTCTCGTCCCCATGCCCCCCCGCAGAAATTCTTCACGGATGCGGTGGGCGCGCCCTGGCACAAAATATCGTCCTCGTCTTCCTCCCCAGCCATCTGTTTTCTCGTCCCCATGCCCCCTCGCAGAAATTCTTCACGGATGCCGTGGGCGCGCCCTGGCACAAAATATCGTCCTCGTCCTCCTCCCCAGCCATCTGTTTTCTCGTCCCCATGCCCCCCCGCAGAAATTCTTCACGGATGCGGTGGGCGCGCCCTGGCACAAAACATCGTCCTCGTCCTCCTCCCCAGCCATCTGTTTTCTCGTCCCCATGCCCCCTCGCAGAGATTCTTCACGGATGCGGTGGGCGCGCCCTGGCACAAAACATCGTCCTCGTCCTCCTCTCCAGCCATCTGTTTTCTCGTCCCCCCCGCGCCACGGGCGTGACCAGCAGGAGGAGGAGGAGGAGGAAAAGGAGGAGGAACGCTCTGGAACGGGCTTATGCTCGTCCTGGCCCCGCCCGGTAACGTGTGTGACGTTTTGCGCCCGGGGCGTCTGGCAGCGTTCCTGGCCTGGCCTAGGTTCCGGGCCATTCCCAGACCCCGCCGGCGCCGAAGTGGGCGTCACCGGCAGGGGGTTGGGTGCGCAGGATCCCCAGCTCGTCTGATCACCATCGGACGGTTCTATGTTATTATTTTGCACAGGGTGTCTAGAGCTCCGACCAGTTTATTTCGGCACGGCACCCCCTCCATCGCCTACACATTCCACCAGCCAGCGCGCCCCTCCGCCCCGACCCCTTTATTTCGGCACGGCACACCCCTCCGCCCCGACCCCTTTATTTCGGCACGGCACACCCCTTCCACACCCCCTCCGCATCCCCGCCATCCACTAGCCAGCGCGTTCCTCCGCCCCGACCCTTTTTATTTCGGCACGGCACACCCCTCCGCCCCGAACCCTTTATTACTTCGGCACGGCACACCCCCTCCACATCCCTCCCACCAACCAGCCAGCGCGCCACTCCGACCCGACCCCTTTATTTCGGCACGGCACACCCCTCCGCCCCAACCCGTATATTTCGGCACGGCACACATTCTCCGCATCCCCACAACCCACCAGCCAGCACGCCCCTCCGCCCCGACCCTTTGTATTTCGGCACGGCCCCCCCGCCCCGACCCCTTTCATTTCGGCACGGCACACCCCCTCCGCATCCCCCCGCCCACCAGCCAGCGCGCCCCCCCGCCCCGACCCTTTTATTTCGGCAAGGCACACCCCATCCACATCCCCCCACCCACCAGCCAGCGCGCCCTCCGCCCCGACTCTGTTATTTCGGCACGGCACACCTCTCTACCCCGACTTCTTTATTTGGGCACGGCACACCCCCTCCGCATCCCCCCCCACCCGCCAGCCAGCGCGCCACTCAGCCACGACACCTTTATTTCGACACGGCACACCCCTCCGCCCCGACCCTGTTGTTCCGGCACGGCACCCCCTTCCGCATCCCCCCACCCACCAGCCAGCGCGCCCCCCCGCCCCGACCCTTTTTATTTCGGCACGGCACCCCCTGCATCCCCCCACCACCAGCCAGCGCACCCCCTCCGCCCCGACCCTGTTATTCGCACGCCCCCCCCAACCCCCTCCCTCCGCCCCGACCCCTTTTTTATGTCGGCACGGCACACCCCTCCGCCCCGACCTTCATTTCGGCACGGCACACCCCTCCACATCCCCCCGCCACCAGCCAGCGCGCCCCTCCGCCCGACCCCTTTTATTTCGGCACGGCACACCCTCCGCCCCACTCCTTTATTTCGGCACGGCACACCCCTCCGCATCCCCGCCATCCATGAGCCAGCGCGCCCCCCCGCCCCGACCCTTTTTATTTCGGCACGGCCCCCCCCCCCCCCCCCCCTTTCATTTCGGCACGGCACACCCCCTCCGCATCCTCCCACCCACCAGCCAGCACGCCCCTCCGCCACGACACCTTTATTTCGGCACGCCACACCCCCCGCCCCGTCCCTTTATATTTCGGCACGGAACACCCCCTTCCGCATCCCCCCCCACCAGCCAGCGCGCCCCTCCGCCACGACCCCTTCATTTCGGCACGCCTCCCCCCCCCGAACCCCCCGACTTCCAGGCGAGCGCGCCCCACCCGCACCGCGACCCCGTTATTTCGACACGCCCCCACTCCCTCCCCGCGCGCCCCGCGCGCCCCCTCTGCATCCCCCCCCACCCACCAGCAAGCGCGCCCCTCCGCCCCGACCCCTTTTTTTTATTACGCCCCCCCAACGCACCCACCCACTCACAAGCCAGCGCACCCCTCCGCCCCAACCATGTTATTTCGGCACGGCACACCCTTCCGATCTTCCCCCTTCTTTTCGTGCAAGAGCCATGGTACACGTGCCACTTGTTTTATTGTGTTTAAGCCCTGTTCTCTCTTTCTCTCTCTCTCTCTCTCTTTTCTCTGTGAGGCCGCCGCCAACCAGGAGTTCAATTGCAAAGCTGCCACGGTAAGGATCTCATAGAAAAGACTCTGGCCAGCAAAACTCTGACGAAAGTGTTGAGAAACAATTGATTACAGCAGTGAAGAAGTTGCGTTGGGCGCATCCAGAACACCTGTGATTGGCATTAGTTTCCAAACATCCTCAGTTGAGTTGGGCCATCGTTCTGAAGAGACGGTCCCCGCGTTCACTCCTCACTCCTCCCCCTCCCTCTCCTCTCCCTCCTTACGTCACCCCTCCGCATCAGTCTACCAGTTCGGTGCCCCTCTCACACGGTTCGTGCCCCTATAAGGAGCGTTTCCGAAGGTTCCAGTGGCAGTGTTCGCATGCGACTCCCCTCCCACCGCATGTCAAGTTCGGCACACCCTTTACACAAGGATGATGTTGCTGCTGCTGATGGCGATGATGATGGTGGTGATGATGCTGATCATGATGATGCTGACGATGGTTATGATGATAATGCTGATGATGCGGATTATGCTGACTGTGATGATGATCATGCTGATGCTAATAATGCTGAGGATCCGTGATATTATGCTTATAACGATGTTGATGTTAATGATGTTGATGATGGCCATGTTGATGGCGATGCTGATGCTGCTGATGGTGATGGTGCTGCTGCTGTTGGTGATGATGCTGATCGCAGTGATGATGACGACGATGCGTATGAGGATGGTGACGATGAGGATGATGCTGAATAATACTAATCATAAGGAGACGATGGCGTGGACGATGAGGGGGAGGCGGAGGAGGGAGCAGGCTAAAGTACGTATTCAACACGCGTTGTTGTAATTCTGCAAGCCCTGTTGTTATATAAACCAGGGGCCTTGCTGCAATAGGTTTAACATGCGCTGTTCGGAAATCATGCAAACACATGGTCGAACGGGGAGGGGGGGGGGGCGGTGACGGCTGTTACGCTTGATAAGAGAATCAGCGCGCTCCTACCCGGACCGTCGACATCGTGAGTTGTTCACGGCGTGGGTGGTTGGAAACATCGCCTCCCCCCCCCGCACATTTGAGACTTGTCTTCCGTCGCGGGACGTTGTTTGGTGGCCCCAGATGCCGAACACGCCTCCCAGGGACAGAACCCTCCACGGGTCTGTCCAGGCAGGCGGAGACTCAGGGGTAGGCCCGCACACATATCGTATTGCGAAAGGCTTTACGATCGTAGGTCGTCCGTCGTCGTCGGCGACGCAGACGCCGCCGCCGACGACGACGGACGACCGACGATTGACAAAGACGACGACGACGACGACCACGACGACCACGACGGCGGGGCGGCGACGGCCCGACCGGACAGGCCGCCGGGCTGCTCGCCGCGGCCGAGGCGCGTGTGCTCCGCAGGGGGGAGGGAGGGAGGAGGAGGAGGAGGAGGAGGAGGAGGAGGAGGAGGAGGAGGAGGAGGAGGAGGAGGAGGAGGAGGAGGGAGGGAGGCCGGGAGGCAGCTTGGGCCCGAAGACGGCTCGATGCCTGAAGGGAGGCGAACATCCCCAGGGCGAAAGTTTTTTCCTGTTGGGCCTGGAGCGACGGTGTGAAGTCTTGAGCAGACCTGTATGAGATAACCGCCGTCGGAGCCCATGAAGTTCGCGCGGATCCAAATGTGGTGTTGGTGTTTGTTTCGGTGAATCCGATTTCCGTCCGTACGGATCCGATTTCGGATTAGCTGGATCCGTGTCCGGTCTTTTTTTTTACGGCGGATCCGATGTGTACCTTGTTTCAAATTTTTATTACTAAATTCAAGCAGGGGGCGGGAAGAAATCGGATCCGCGGACCCCGCAAACCGCCCGTGTTAAGATTCTCTGGGGGAGGGGGGTTCGGTAATCATTTTTCCACGATGGGCCCTGCGTCGTCTCGCGCACTCCCATCAACTTCCTGCGCGAGCGGGCCCCATTCAGCATGAATACATGCACCCCTCCCCCCCCGGTTGCTGCAAAGAGCTCGTCCAGTCGCCGTCCGTTCGGCGGCGCCGACGTTGTCTCGCGAACTCCTCATGGCCATTTTCACCTCAAGAGGAAACTCTTGTCCTGCGTAAGTGCGCTTCGGCCCTGCGTCTTTTCACCCAAAGGACTGCCTGTGAGATGTGGTGTGTCGGCTGTGTGGTTACCAGCAACGGACTGCCTGTGAGATGTGGTGTGTCGGCTGTGTGATAACCAACGAGTCCGAAGGCCGAAACGCCCATGCGTTTCGGCCCTGCGTCTCCTCACCCAACGGACTGCCTGTGAGATGTGGCGTGTCGGCAGTATTGTTACCAACGACGGACTGCCTGTGAGATGTGGTTTGTCGGCTATATGGTAACCAACGTGTCCGAAGGCCAAAGCGCCCATCCCCAGGACGAAAGTTTGTTCTTCTTGTTGTGTCGTGTCGGCTATCTTGGTACCAACAACGGATTGCCTGTGAGATGTGGTGTGTCGGCTAGATGGGAACCAACGAGTCCGAAGGCCAAAAACGCCCATGCGTTTCGGCTTTGCGTCTCCTCACCCAACGGGCTGCCTGTGAGATGTGGTGTGTCGGCTGTATGGTAACCAACGAGTCCGAAGGCCAAAACGCCCATACCCAGGACGAGAATGTTTTCCTGTTGGGCCCGGAACGACGGTGTGAATTCTTGAGCAGACCTGTATGAGATAACCGCCGTCGGATCCCATGAAGTTCGCGCGGATCCAAATGTGGTTCTGGTGTTTGTTTCGGTGGATCCGATTTCCGTCCGTACGGACCCGATTTCGGATTAGCTGGATCCGTGTCCGGTCTTTTTTTTACGGCGGATCCGATGTGTACCCTGTTTAAATTTTTTGATACTAAATCAAAGCAGGGGACGGGGAGAAATCGGATCCGCGAACCCCGCAAACCGCCCGTGTTAAGATTCTCTG